TTAACATGTAGTATTATGTGTATTGTAAGGACGTGACCAATTCTACGTATTGTAATACATCACCAATTTCTTGTTAGTGTTCCACTACCAGGTTATCGTGAAGCTGTTCAAACCGAGTAAGAGCCGGGATGAGCGGGGTCACTTGTATCTGTCTTTGAAGGGAGATGAAGGGGAAGTGGACTTCACTCTGAGCAACGAGTAAGAATTAGTCCATTATGCTTTGTAATATTTACTAAGTGATAGAACATTTTCTCATTTTTCTTGCTCAACTTTAAGAGAAAGCGATTTAAGAAAACATATTCTTATTGTTGTGTAATACAAAACACCACAGTTTTAATTAGTTATCCCGTGAACTGTGAGTAAAGAACAAGGTTTTATAAATAAATGTTCTCTTTTCATTCCCAATTGACTATAAAAATTTCAGTTTAGGTAAAATTATCATCAGATTCTAATTTTAGAGTACGGTATGTTGATATATATTGGAAGTAATAACGCTTTGAATGAGATTTTAAAACTACCAAGCACCTTATTCATGAATAAGTTATAATATCAATATCCCTTGAAGTTTGTTCATAATGTTATGGATTCACAGTTATGTTATAATGCAACTAACATTTTGTATATTAAGTAGAAGTTCTGACACGAAAAGGCAGATTGAATGTTTTGTGGTATTATCAAGTAAATACTAATCAAACCTGTTTGTCTCCAGCTGTACAAAATCGTTATGATGTTATAACTTTTAGTTTTCAAAACTAACCAGTAGTTTTATCGATCATTAACAACAGTTTATACAAACAAATTTTAAGGTTTATGAATGTTTAAAATAAACGAAAATACAAATAAGTCATATCTGTATTCTTTTCCAAGGATGAAATAAAGTACGCTGCGCTTACTTGAAGAAAAACGGAAATTGAACCAATTTCTTTTCGGTACTTTAACGTTACATTTTTCTTTAAATTTCAAATTCTTGTATTTGTTTCACATAAACTTTAATATTGTAAAAAAAAAGCGTGTGCGTTTCTCTCTCTAAGCCTATCTATACAATTTCAGACCCACGAAAGACTTTTATATTATAGCAAAAATCATTACGCTCATAGTCTACAGACTTAATAGGCTTTATTTAGGGTATCTTTCGTCGACTGAATTGCAAATGATGGTAATTCTGAGAACAAATGACAAGAAACCTTTCCTCGGTGAGGCCAGCACTCAAGGAACCTAGTTAGTTACGCTGATAAGACGAAACATGTTTGGATAGAAGGTGTCACGTTGGAGAAGCTGACAAGATGCGATTAGTCAGCACTTAGTATAACATTTAATCACATGCATGAGGCAGTGCATCAGCTCATGATGTCAATGGAACCGAACAGAAAACAAGTCATGTAATACACTCCATTATTGGATAACACATTAGATTACTGCTTGTAAAATAGTGGATAAATTATTACTCTACATAAAGACGTGACATATTAAAGGCCACTTACCTTCTATGAAGTAAAAGTTAAGATAATCCATAGAATAAAGAGTAAATTATGTTGAGAATGGCATATAATTATATGATACACAATCATAGACGATACATAGCGAATCTTAACGCACCACTGTACATGACGAATCTCACATCACAGACTTTAACAGTAACAGACCAAGTTTAACACACGGTCTTTTAACGAATCGAATCAAGATTAACATATGGTCTTTCAGTGAATCTAACTGGAAATTAAAGTTATTTCTTATTTTTTGTAAACGTGAATTCTGTGATTTTTTTGTTATGGGAGGAAGAAATAACTGGCTATATATAATGTCGCGTCTGTCTTAATTCCATCTTTAGAAACGTGCTTTGTACACAATAAGTTATTTCTATATCTATATTTTAACAATTGATATAGTTTTAGTTAGAGCGGAGTTATTTTAACTGTAAAAAAGATGGTTGTTCCACGTATTAATTAAGTACAAATTGCTTTTCTTTATATGGTTAGTTTATGTTCTATTATTGAGAGATAATGGTGAGTATTTTATTCTGATCTATATATTTCTTGCAACTCGTATAAACAAGTTATACTTAAACAGCAACAACAATAAGTTAAAGTAGTTCTTTTCTGTTTACATTTTAGTGTGGAGGAGTTCTATCATGGGGCCCAGTACACCTACTTAGTTACAACTGATAAATAAACATATTGGTGACATCATTAAGATTGGACTTAGTTACAACTGGTAAACATATTGGTGACATCATTAAGATTGGACTTAGTTACAACTGATAAACATATGAGTGACATCATTAAGATTGGACTTAGTTACAACTGATAAACATATTGATGACATCATTAAGATTGGCTTTAGTTGGAAACATCATTCAACCATCTTTAACCCTCTAACTTGAATACTGTTTATATTTTAGTTTGGAGGAGTTCTATCATGGTGCCCAGTACACCTACTTAGTTACAACTGATAAACATATTGAGGGTTAAAGATGGTTGAATGATGTTTCCAACTGAAGCCAATCTTAATGATGTCAATTATCGATTTCGTTCATGGGAGTAACTTTAACATATTCCACGTACAATCTAGGTTTTCGAAACAGTATCCAAGTTAGAGTGTAAGTATTGGTTTAAATTACCTTAATTAGACACTGCTTTGCAAACCGAAACGATATATATAGACAATGTGTAGAGATACCCATTAATGCCGTTTAAAACATATGCGTAGATGTGTTTTTTAGTAACCAGAATGTTGTTTCGCTAGTCAATCTAATTCTATTTCTACCATTTAACTAACCAGTTATTTTTATACTTACTGATTTAATATCACACCTATTTAAAACACCATGTTCAATTCATCTTTTCATCTGCCTTCCAGCTTTCTGTTTATTTATCAACAATTACTCCAACCGTCAGTTGTTTCCTCCAATCAACTGTCTACCTGATGTCTTTCTGTTTATTTATCACCAATTAGTCCAACCGTCAGTTGTTTCCTCCAATCAACTGTCTACCTGATGTCTTTCTGTTTATTTATCAGCAATTACTCCAACCGTCAGTTGTTTCCTCCAATCAACTGTCTACCTGATGTCTTTCTGTTTATTTATCAGCAATTACTCCAACCGTCAGTCGTTTCTTCCAATCAACTGTCTACCTGATGTCTTTCTGTTTATTTATCACCAATTAGTCCAACCGTCAGTCGTTTCCTCCAATCAACTGTCTACCTGATGTCTTTCTGTTTATTTATCACCAATTACTCCAACCGTCAGTTGTTTCCTCCAATCAACTGTCTACCTGATGTTTCTCGCTCTTCTACCCAATCACCAATCTGTTACCTATTTTTCTGTGCTTTAACTGTACGCTTAGAGGTATATACTCATCTAAAATCTATAAAGTTTTCACACGTCTATCTATACACCTATTTATCTATTTGCCACTTCTTCTTCTGGCTAGCTGTGTTTCAATCCACCCAATTATACACCCATTTTGTTCTTGAGTTGAAAGTTCCTGCAGATATTCACCTATTCGTTTATGTATTCAGTTATATTTTATACTCTACATCCGCTTAACAATTTATTACATCTATCGTACCTATATATTTGTTAGTTTTTCCAATTATTTAAAAATGTGGCGTTTACTTATACTTTCTTGGTTAGCCATCTTTTTCAGGACATGCATGTATTCACCTGTCGCTTCTACTCCTTCACTATTCACACATTCGTCAACCTAATTATCTACTCAGCCATTAATCCCTATTCACTCACCCGAGTATCCAGATGTTTACTCAGCCATTAATCCCTATTCACTCACCCGAGTATCCAGATGTTTACTCAGCCATTAATCCCTATTCA